TGTTATGTGATGCAACACTACAGCAAGTCGTATTGCATTAGTTTGTTCTTTGAGAGAAGCGTAAACATTGGAGTTTACAGAGGATCGATGAGCAAATAAAATAAGAAAGATGACTACCTATTTAATCAATCTGATAAAAGAGCTATAATCTTAAACCACACAAGTCCTAATCCAATTTCAGTTGAGTTTAAAAGTGTAATAAGAGTTTTACAACCTCATAACACGGAGGGATCACAATGTATGTGCACTGTGGACTTGATAAGAGATGTGGATCGATTACAGTGATTCAGAAGGTACTTTACGAGAGACCAGGCTTTCAGAGTGGACTTGTACACAGTGTACACTCCCGGCCACCTATGGAGGATAGAAAATCAAATGAGGTTTTAAAAACAAATGCAAATTGTTAAAATAATATGCAAAGTGTGGTGACAATAAGAAAACCATTGAAAGCATTTTGGTTAGACTGACCAGTGATCGATAATGTCAGCACAGGTGATGCATGTATTCGATTGCATCACTAAAAAAGCTGCAATGTAGGTATGATTTTATCTAAGTTTAAAAAAACAAAAAACAAATCTACAGTTTTGGAGTTTACTGATTTTTTGTGCCATTGTTCCCCTTTAAAATCTCAAGGCCACACTCTCCACGTCTCTGCTCATCAATACTTACCTGTTCTTACCAAAAGCCTTTTTTCATATTTAATGAGAATTTAAAATACAGCAACTCCTGTTTGAGTCAGATATAGACACAGACTTTTTATAGCCGGATCTAGAGACCGAATGCTCCCATCTTGATGTCTTGTTTTGATCTCTGTGTATCCGAATATATTTAATTAAATCACTCTTTACTCAAGATGATGACGTCAACACCATAATTTATAATGCTTTTAGAATCGTCTTGTCTCTGCAGCTTTATGAGAGGTTTTGCTTGGAGAGCTTGATTACTACAATTTGCAGCTGTTGTGCACACATAACAGACCAGCAGAGTAAAATACAGCCAGACATCACTTAATAGTGGTTTATGACACTGTTGAAAAAACGTTGCATGTATTCTTACTGTTTTTGTTAGAAGGACTTTTGTCTTTGTGTGAAGAATCCATCTACATCTGCCTCTTTAAAACATTGGAGTAGGGTTTTAACTAGGGATGGCTATCGTTTAGGTTTTATCCGATACCAGTACTTTTGAAACGGTGCCGGTGCTTAAACGGTGCTCAAACCGGTGCTCAAACCGGTGCTTAAAGAATGGAGACCACAAAATTG